GCCCCTCAGATTGCTGTGACCTCTTAAGAGTATCAGACACTGTTCTAGCATACAGGAATAAAGGACTGCTGGAACTTGTAAAGGACTTAGGTGGGAAATAATCAAGCTCTGGACTATCTCAGCTCGCTCTAGTAAAATTAGTAAAAGCCAACACTTGTCACAACATTAACCAAGGCACTCTGAACACAGAGCCCTGCTTTTTCTTTATTACCTAAAATTTCCCTGTTTAATCCCTAGATCAGCAGCATCCTACAGGAAGCTGAAGAAGTTCAGGTTAAAAAAAAAAATTACGCAAAATGAGATATGGAAAGAGAACTGGGTAAAAAGGTGTTGCTCGTTGTTGATATGACTCAGAGGATCTCCTGGCAAAAAGAGGACTCCACTTTGCCCTGGAATTTTGAGCCCCACATTGCCAGAGAAGGAATCTGGATTTAGGAATGCTGAGTGTGGTTGGAAGGAGGGAAGATGACAGTGGGTAGGACATGGGGGTCCCAGCCATCTGAAATCTTAAGTCAAGAAGAACAATCACAAGGCATTTTGTCTCCCCTCCTGGACTAGACACCTGAAGTACCAGCACCCTGGGAGGTGCTCTGGGGTAGGAACCCATTCACTCAAAATGAAAGCCTGTGAATTTTAAATAGAAAACAAGTGTGTCTAGAATATGATTTCCTCTGTTCTAGCAGGAAGTTAAGCAGGAAGTGAAAGCTGAAGATGTGATTCAGTTCTGCAGAGCACAGCTGAGGAGCAAGGCAGCATCTATTCAGGTAAAAGCAGGTGGTAGGAAAGAAATGTGCAGCATCTGCACCTCATGTCATCTGCACGTACTCAAGGGCAGCCCCCAGAGGGGGTGGTCTGTGTGGAATAAACAGAAATGCTGGAGCATCACAAGCCAGTGACAAGAAGATGGGAGTCAGGGGAATTGAATTTAGCAAGTCTGATTTATCCCACCACTGCCCTCCCACTATTTCGAGCCCCCTTCTCACAAGCACAACACACCAGAGCCCCTCAGGTGTTTGATTTGCAGGGTTGCCATCTACTACAAGGTTACACCAGGGCAGCCCAAGAGGCAGAGCAACCCTGTAATTCACCTGTAATGAGTCCTCCCATCTCTCTCACCTCCTCTCCTTTCCTGGCACGTGCCCTTGTTCTGCACACCTGTGCTTACCAGGGTGTCCTCTGGTGACACCCCTTTGCTCTTTCTGCAGACAGACACTCTGTCTGCATTTCCATGGACTCCCTGCCATCCCCTCCCTTTGATGCCTCCTCAGTTTCCACTTGCACAAGCCCCTGAGCTGGAGGATTCAGGTGCCCATCCCCGAGGACAAACCCCTGGCGCGGAGCACTGACCTCTCTGAACACTCCGTGCTCAGGAACTGGCCCACAGTTCTCACCCTGGCTCTGCCTCACACCTGCTGAGCCACTTCTGGGCAGGTCACTTCTCCCCTCTGGCTTCCTTGGTCTTCCCATCTGTAGAAAAGGGCCAGCCTCATTATCCCCCCACTCCAAGTATAAAACATCCTGAGATGTCTGGAAGACAAACTGCACTGCGAGCCAGGCACTGCTATTCTTGGAGCTCTGGGGTGGCACAGACACAAAAGCAACATAAATCCAAGGGCAAGGAGAGCAGACAGAGCAATAAAGCACAAAAAATGAAGAGAGAAGGGGGAAAAAATCTAGTGAAAACCAGAGTACAGCACTGGGATATTACTCTCATGGTCTAAGTATCTATGGAAGGATAACACTATTCTGAAGCAGTTTTACAAATCCAGTTGTCCACCTTCTCAGTCTTTGTGTTCCCAGAGGCCTGGAGTTCTGTAGCTGCTCCTACCTAACTCCACACATGGAAGAGGCTTTTGGTATGGTCTGGTTTATAAATAAGTTGACTGCCTATAGCTCAAGGAGGCAAGGAGATGCTCTACCACCTCCTGAGATCACTCAGGATTATCCAGTAAACACAAAGAAGTTTGGATTGCAGACCTGAAGGCCAGTGAACCAATCCAATATTTATGTAACTGCACATGTAGTGCTCTAAAAAGGAAGATCAGCCCAGAATGACAGCATCATCCAGAGCTGAGGGAGGCTGGAACAGCACATTTTATGTGTGTTACTCTACAGTGCTCCTGAGCAAGCAGCAGTTGTGCTCCATCTGTCAGCGTGTCCTCTGCTGTCACAGGATCCTTGCTGCACACACCACCACCTCCTGCTGCCTTCCCTCAGGGATGAGGCTGGAGTGTCCTGGGATTTTTCTGTGCAGGGCCTTACAGTGTCCCCCCAACCAGTCTGCATTACATCTCTTGGGCAATGAGCCACTCCTACCTGGGGATTAATGTAAAAGAAGACAAAAATTCAAATTGTGTCTTTGCAATTCCCAAGGAACCAGCCCCCTTTGCTCCCCAGAAAGCATTGGGAGCTCAGGGTGTGTGGATTGGCTTTTGAATGTTTGGAGGGACAGAGGTACCAGACTGGCTGTACCTGCAAAGAATGGGCTATGGCATGAACACAGGCTCAAACACTACCTTTGGGGATTTTTTTCCCCCTTGCTGTTTGACTTTTCAGAACCATCTCCTCCTAAAAAACCGTGTGAAACTTTGTTTCTCCGTTAAAAGGATTTTTTAAATTGTTTATTTTAAAGCCTGTCTGATGAGCGATACGAACTGCCAGCAAATACTACACTTCACTCCCCCTCATTAACATTGTAAATTAATTTAGGACTCGTTTAGATGCAGGATTAACAACCTGAGGGCTCACTCACTCTTTATTCAGAGGGCATACTCAGGATGAGCAGTGTCTCATCTCACATCACTCAGTTAGTTCAGCAGGACCATCTCTGGGGAAGCAAAGGATATTTGTGTCCCTGCTTGCAGAGGAGCTGCTCGAGGTTAAGGCAGAGGTGTGGGAGACACCAGTCCTGGCCCCAGCTCTGCTGCAGGTCCCTCTGCCCCCCTGGGCAGGTGCTTTTACCCTCTGCATCCATCTTCCCTGAGTTGCACTTGCAGAGAGGTCAGCCTTGGAGAACAGAGCAAGGATTAAAAGCAGTGTTTGTGGTGGTGCAGGGCAGCATCTTTTATTTCTCCAGGGCTAAGGGTACCAGGGCCAGCTGCCAACACAGGAATTTGCTAAGCTGAAGTAATATATTTAATGCATTTTCAGCTACGTACCCCTACCCTGACTCTTCTGTGAAATGGTGCTTTATTTTGGGAGCACTCTTGTCCTCTGATGGCACTGTGATTAGGGCATTATCCATTTTGCACGAGCAAAGTCAAGCCCTCAGTTTTCAGCTCAGAAAAGAACAAAACCACCCACCAAGAGAAAAAACTGCTCCTGACACACTCAAGAGCAATATCCTGCAACACCTCAGTGATGCTGTTTTCAGCTGCCCTGTGTGTTCGCTACAGAAATAAATAACACTTCTCGCAATTAACAAATGAATGCCCTGTTGAAGCTTAGCTTTTACTTGCTGTCCATAAATCATCTGCAGAAGCATTCCATCCACTGAGGGGAATGAAGATTAAACACACGCTTTGGCAAGTGTCCTTTCACCACCGGAGTATTTTCTTGCAGGCGCTTTGTGTCTAACGCTACGCTGAGGACCTGCTCCTCTGAGCACAATAAATAAACACAAATCATTGCTGTGGAAAGGAGCCTGACAGACAAGCAGTGCCACTTTGGGCATAACTGATTGATGCTCCTTATAATCAGTGACACTTGTGGAGCTCAGCCTGGCCTGGCCACGTGCTGCTCACAGCGGCTCAGCTGAGCTGGGCCCACAGGGGCAGCACTTGGGAGGGTTTCACACAAACTGGGATTAGTTGGCTGTGTCACAACATCACCAAGAAGCTGCAGCCACAGATGAGGGCCCTGCTGTGCCACGGAGGAGATGCTGCAGAGCTTCACCTGGTTAGAAATCAAATACCAGTTGCTGGGGCTCCAGGACATTCTCACCTTCGGTGTGATCTTAAAGAATGATTTTATACAGTCCAGTGTTTGCCACAGTTCCACAGACAAGCTCCTGACAGGAATTAGGAATGCACTGGGATAGCACAGGAACACGTGTCTCTCTGGCACACCATTCACAGCCACCTCAACTCTCCTTTTTTTCAGAGATGTGATTGTTGCAGAGTGGTTCCCTCACACAGACAACAGTGACAAGACAACCCCAGCACCACAAATCTGTGACTCCAGCTAAGAGTTGTGCAGGAGGTTTCCAAACCAGGCTGTTTCCTTACAATACTGCATTTCCTCTCTGGCTACTCCTTTCAGCTCTCCACAAGGATCCAAGAGACAGCACTCAGTGTCATCACATCCAGCACACACAGACACTCTGAGCCACCTCAGGACCAGAGGCCAGACCAGCTGGGTGTGTCCTGGGGCTGTGCAGCTCTGCCTGCAGGGCTCTGTGACATTAAAATCAAATCCCTGGACATCACAACTGCAGTAACCCTTCCTCAACCACCACCAGAGGCACGTCTGAAGGTAACAGCACCCCAGGGCAGTTGTTAATCCCTGAGTTCCCATGGATGCAATGACTGTCAGCCCTGCCTGCAGCTTTCAGCCTCAGGCACTTGTCCTGAGGAGTTTTACATTTTCAGGCCACTGTCCATTCAGCAGATTCTCTGGAGAGCACGTGAAGGGCATCACATGTCACACTTATTACCCACCTGAAGCAGTGAGAACAAGAGGATCCTGCTGTTGGTTTATCATTTCTAGGGGAAGCAGCCATCTCCTGCTTGAATTTACTTGTCAAATAATATCATTAGGTTTGTTTGCTTTTGGCCCATTCTACACTCAAGCCATTCTGAGCCCCAACCTCCTGCCCAGCAGCAAATCAAAGCCAAAACACCCCTCGTGTTTATTCAGCCTCCTAGGAAGGGTGTATTTATTCACCTTCCTAGGAAGAGTAAATTCCACAACCAGTGTGCCCAAGGGACACAAGTAAGAAATCCATAAACACCCTTTGGAGAAGAGGAAGGTTCCAAAAACCAAGGAGAGGACACTCTTACCTGTCTGTAACAAACCAGCCCCGCTGTCCTTGACTCCAAAGTGCTGCTGGATGTCCAGTAACACACCTGCAAGGAAAACAGAGAGCTTTAAATACCAGTATTTCAGACAGATAACTTCTAAAGTTTGCATATTGGCTTCTTTCTTAGACATGCACACTCAGTAATTTTGGGCTGCTACAAGAAAAACAGAGGTAGGCAGATGTAAGATCATGCAATGAGTTTGGGACTTAAATCCTCATGAATGAGAAACTGGTCTTTCCTTTCCACTTATATAAGAGCAGGGTTTTCTTCTTGTGTGTTTTCTGCAGAATCCAGACCCACTGCTTGTGTTATTTTACAGAAATACAGGGAAACTGATTCTGCCCCTTCAAATGGTTTGACAAGACAGACAGATTGAATCCGAGACAAGTTTTAGCACATCTCTGTTGGAAGGAGATATGACACACTGATAGGAGCAATGATGGGAGCTTTCCTATTTAACCAGTTCTGGGGAGCTCTTACTTTCAAAACAAAGGTAGCAAATAAACTTGAAAGAGCTCAGTCAGAGTGACCAAATGTTTAACTTTAAAGCAGCTCCACAGAGAACCGAACCCAGGCTTCTCTCTGAACCCCCAAATATATTAACTGGCACATAATCAGCAGGTTTTGCAGTATTCAATCAGCAAGATTGGATGTTTTTGTTTCAAAGATATTAACACATATAACATCAGGTATCCAGGAACAGCCCTGCTTTTGTAACCAACTCCAAAGCAAACCACAGGAGAGCTCTGGGAGCTCCTCTTGGGGGCCACATTTGCCAAGCTGTTCATGGCCCAGCTGTCCCTGTGGATGCAGATCCACGGGCCTGGATGTTTGTCTGGGGTCTAAATAACCTGCATCCGATTTCCTGGGTCTGGAACAGGGACGGTTGCTCTCTGAATATCTGGGGCTTCCTTATTTAGGCTCCTGTTCCTCCCCAGACCTGAGGATATGCAAATATAATCAGAACAAGAAACACCATTCTCTAACTACCCTGAACATCTATAAAAGTTCACCTCCAGCTCAAATTCTGATCCAGGGCTTTTTCCAAAGTGATTCTGCTCATCACTGCAGGTCACAGGAATCAACTGAGCACCAACCTGCACTCACTCACCATAAATGTCTTGTCTTTTGGGACTGCCAGGATCACACGTAATGACAAACATCCAGAGATAAAACACCCAGAGATAACTATTCCCAGAAGACATGTGGGACAATGCCAAGAAAAGAGTCATAAATTAAAGGTACTAAAAGAAAAAAAAATGGAGAGCAGGAAATAAAAAGTAAGAAAGCTCGTTTGAGCTGTTCTGTACTACTGCTACCTCACCATTTAATCAGGCCAGCACTCAGGTGGGCTTCAGACCATCAGGATCTGCCCAGAAACATCAGTGCAGCCTCCTGCACTATCCCCCACTTCCCTGCTCTCCCATCAGACTGTTCAGCCCGGAGCAGACACAGCTGAGGGTGGGGAAGGGTGTCAATGTTATCAGTGTAACATTGCTGATAGCACAGGGGCAGGGCCGGGCCGGGCTCCTCTCGCTGCTGCCCAGTGAGGGAGGCAAAGGGCACCGACTGAAATCCAGCAAATTCCATCTAAACAAAAGAAAGAAACCTTTTTACTGTGAGGGAGGTCAAACACTGATGTCCAGAGAGGCTGTGGGTTCCCAGCCCTGGAGATACTCAAACCCCAGCAGGACACAGTCCTGCTCTGAGCAGGGGCTCGGCCTCGATGAGCTCCAGAGGTCACTCCCAACCTCAGTTACTCTGTGATTCCATAATTTCCTGAAGCATTAAGAGCCTGATTGCCTCCAGCCCGACACACTGTTCCCCTGTGTGCCTTTCTTCTCTTTTCTTTTTTGGAGCATTGCTGTCCATTATAATTCTAACAGGAATTTCTTGGTTTTCCCTCACATGGCAGACAGATTTAACTCCATGTACAAGGTGCCCTGGCATTTCTCAGCTGTGCTCCCCTCACCTGCTCCATTAATAGCTGGGATATCGTTATCCAGGTTATATCTGATGAACAAAAATGAATTTGCATTTGCCTAGCAAGAGCCTCCATGGCTTAGCTGACTTAACTCCTCCCCTTGGTGTCCCACCCTTCCACAAAAATAAAAAATAAATAAATGTTTCTTTTGCAACCCAAGGTTCAACCCTCACTTGACTTAAGCAGCTCTGAAAACCTGCACTTTGTGCTCCTTTCCTGCTTGGTCTCAGACTGCCCACGCCAGGTGAAGCTCAGCAAGTCAAAATGACTCGTGGGCACCATAATCCCAATTTTATGGACAATGAACCCATCAAGAACAAGGAGGAAGAAGGAGGAAACACTGTATTCAGTGTTTCGGTGTTTTCTCACGCTCTCCTATCATCACTCAGACAGGTTCCAGATCATGAGAAATTATCTGTCCAGTGGCAACAGCTCCACAGTCCTACAGTGATTCTTCACACAGCAGACCACAACGTGTCTTACAAGCTCCTGTAACCACAAATAAAACACATGAGCAGCCACCTTGGGTTAATCCTACAGCCTCATTCTGGTGGTGGAAAGTGGGTTCTGGGGAGAGTCAGAGCAACAGGACAATGAAGAACCACAACTGTAAGTCCTGTGTGAGCTTGGGAGAAGGTCTCAGAAGATTAAGAGAGATCTGCATGTCTAATTGACATGGATTTCCTACTCCAAGGCTATTTCATATTCCCTTTGGACTACAGGTGTTTTGATTTGGGTTTAGAGCATTAAATTAGAGGCAGCAGCAGGCAGATGATGCAACACGTCCATGAAGTGATAGTAGTTCCCCTGCTGTGGGAGTTTTCCTGCTCAGCACACTCATGTGGGAAGACACTCCTCCTCCTTGCTTAAATTTACTCAGCTCTGTTTCCACCTCACCGTGGCAGTGACTCAGCCCAGACTTTAATAAGATTTAGGGATGCAATTAAGCAATGATAGACCAGGGGAGAGCACAGGAAAATGATAGAGCTTTTGACTTTCCCTTGTGTGAGGGGAAGGCCGAGGGCTGGAGCCGGGCCCCAGACAGTGTTTTGCCTGCAGAGATGCGCTCCAGGTGTCTGCCAGCGCCCGACATGTGGCTGGGCACGGCCTTTCTTGGATTAAAGCTCATCCCTGTGTCCCAGGAGGATCTCAGAACAGGCACCAGCCTTCCCTCCCCCAGACAGCCCCTCCGGAGGGTGCTGGCCATTGGGGATGGCTGCGTGATCGCACAGGGGGTGCCAGCACCGGCTATTTCTTAAGCACATTCTGCGTTTTCAGGACCGAACAAACGCGGTGCCAACCTCCCAGAGCGTCTCACCAGCCCAGCCAGACTCTGTTAGTGCTGATGCAGAGCTTGGAACTCGACAAGGGCAGCACCCAGCCAGGAGTGCTGATCAAGATGGGCACGGATTCAGGGCTCCCTGGGGAACCCAGAGGGAGCAGGGCCTGGCTCCTGCAGCCCTCTCCAGGGCACTTCCACCAGACCTGCTGTCTGACAAAGACACCGAGGCAGTTCTGGGACTTCTGGGGGCACTAGGCCTTAAAAGAGGACCTCTAAGAGCAATTGGGAGGATAAAAGGGTGTGGAGTGTTAGAGATAGGGAGGGCACGTCAAGTAAATGGGAATAGGAACGTGGGTGACCTCACCCCCTCCCAGGGTCAGAGGGTTTCCAGGGTACTGCTGACATTTGTAATGACCATTTCACAAGCACTGACTATAACAGACCTAATTCGGAGGCTTTTGGAATGCAAATCCACATTTAATGGCCCGAGTTATCTCTGTTTTAAGGGAAATACTTTGGGAAAGGCCAATTTTCCTGGAAGTGTGTGGTTCACACTTAGAGCAGCGGGGTAGGTGGTACAGATGAGGCATGATCAGATAGGTTTTGTGTTCCTGACCAAAGCTACAACAAATCAGAGGCTGCAGGACTCAACATGGGTTCTTCACCTATTTACTGCTGCCTGAACACCTGAATACAGAGTAAGAAACACTGTTCATAAGCTAAACCACAATGAACTCACAGTTTCAAAGCAAAAAGACATTAGAGCTTCCCTGGGAGAGGCCCATTTTCCAGTCACCAAAACAAAACATCGTGATTTGGTTTCAAAGCAGGTGTAAAATGTAGAGTTGGCCCGTGCAGAGCTACAGAAGCAAAGCCACAGGTTCTCAGCTCAGCCAGCCTTGCCTCAGTAAAGCCAGTGCACATTTTAAAGCACTGAGTGTGTGCTGCAACACCTCTGGCCAACCTAACCACTTACTTGAAAAGCACGTGCATTTTTAAAGTTGGTTTTTTTTTTCTCCTACCTCTTGCCACCTTCCCCTTCCTCCTTAGGAAAGCATTTTCCTTCCCAGACTGTGTTCCCCTGGTGCTTCCAAGACCAGCTCTCCCAGGAGAAGGTAACCAAGCAGGAGGACAGCCAAGCCCTGGCCTTCTAGCCATGAAAGGCATCCCACCACCAGGCTCTTCCTCATGCCTGCAGCCACATCCACCCCCCTTCAAACGACGCATTGGGGCGGCAGAGGAGTGGTGCACACACCTGTCTGCTCAGAGACATGAGAAAAAGATTAGGTGAAGTTTATTCTGAGGTCTCCTGTGATTACATCTTCACTGCAACCCCAAGGTGTGACGGCACTTCACACCCCCAGCCCCGAGCTTCAAAGGAGCTGCCCTCAGCTCAGCCACCCACTGCTGTTCAGCCCCGGCGTCACCGTTTGGGCCCCGTTTAAAGATCCAGGCACACAAAACCACCGTGGTGGCCCCGCTCAAGATAAATTCCCACTGCTGCCAGAACTAGCAAGTCTAGAGGGATCTAAAGGAAGCACCACCTCCTTTGGATTGCTATGAAAGCAATCCCTGCCTGCTCGTGAATTATTGATAAACGTGAGGTGACGTCTGGCCTGGCAAACACCACCAGGAGCTTCCTCGGGACACAAACACCGGCTTTCCCTCTGCAAAACTCGTTTCCACCTTGGCATGGCACGACAACAGGCACTGGGGAAACAGCCTTTGGTTTTGAAACACCGCTGCAGGATTGAAAAGAGACAAACAAAACAGAGCCAG